CTAGCACATATATTCTCACTCTATAGCAAAGTAAACCATTAAAATCTTTACCAAATTATTTTCTTTTCCTCTTTTGGGTGTCTTTTAAGGCCTGGTCACTCATTCATCTTTAATACGATCAAGTAACGTTGACCAAACCTAAAAATGTGTTAACAAAAGCATTAGCCTCATTAACCTCAAAGTGCAATCCCATGTCTCCAAGATCATGGATATCTCTCACCATTAGTTATATGGGCTAAACTTTCTATGGACTTTCAACTCAAGGCATCAACTACCACATTTGCTTTGTCGAGATGATACAAGATGGTACAATCATAGGCCTTGAGCAACTCCATTTATTGTCATTGCCTAAGGTTAAGATCTCTTTGCTTAAAAATCTACTTGAGCCTCTTATGATCCGTATAAATCTCACGTGTCTCTTCATAGAAATAGTGCTTCCAAATCTTAAGAATAAATACAATATTAGTCATATCTAAATCATGTGTAAGGTAGTTTTGCCTGTGCCTATTCAATTGTATCGAGACATAAACTATCACTTTGCTGTGTTGCAGTAACACGCATCCTAAACCAACATGTGAGGCATTGTAATAAACTTCGTATTTGTCCACACTCTGCGGTAAGCTAAGTACTAGTGTCAAAGTAAGACAAGCTTTGAGCTTCCTAAAGCTTTCATCACATGCCTCGTTGGATTGGAATTTCACATTTTTTTAAGTTAATCTAGTCATCGGTGCATCAAGTCTAGAAAAACCCATGATGAACCGTTGATAACATCTGACCAATCCTAAAAAGCTACAAATCTTAGTCACTAAGGTTGGCCTTGACCATTTCTTTACAATCTTAATCTTCTTTAGGTCTACCTTAGCTCTATCCTTGGAAATCACTTGACCCAATAAACTAATGCTATTAAGCCAAAACTCACACCTAAGAACTCGGCATACAATTAGTGCTTTCTCAACACCTAAAGTACAATCTTGAGATATTGCTCATGTTCCTCCTTACTTCTCGAATAGACCAAAATGTGATCAATGAATACCACTACAAAGTTGTCCAAGTATTGTTTGAACACTCGATTCATCATATCCATGAAAGATGTTGAGGCCTTTGTAAGACCAAAGGACATACAAAGAATTACCTAGTTTGGAAGGCAGTCTTAAGTACATGCTCCTGCTTAATCCTCAACTAGTGGTAATTGGAGCATAGATCAATCTTGGAGAAATAGTGAGCTTCATGCAATTGGTCAAACTAGTCATTTATGCATGGAAGGGGATATCTGTTTTTGATTGTTACCTTGTTCATTGTTTGTAATCGATACACAACTTCAGTGATCCATCTTTTTTCTTCATGAATGGGACTAGTGCACTCCATGGTGACAAACTAAGGTGTATGAAACACTTATCAAATAGGTCATCCAATTGATCCTTGAGCTCTGTCAAGCCAAACGATATAGTGGTATCGATATAGGTTTAGTATCATGCACCAATTTGATACAAAACTCAACCTTTTGTTCTGGGGGCAAACTTGATAATTCCTTCAGAAACACATCAAAGAACTATCCAACAATTGGCGTATCAATCATCTTACCTATTTCCATTTAGGTATCTATGACCACTTATCACAAGCTGAACTCGGGGGTCCGTGACTGTCGCATGGAATAAACAAATAAACCGCCTATCCCAAGCAAGCCTTTAACCAACATCCAAGCAATTATAACCACATGAAATCCTTGGAAATTTGTATTTCATTGTATATATAAGTGCAAATGTTCAACCAAGTAATTTCGAAAGGTTACATGCATTCATGTGAGTTCACAAGTTCTATAACCTTTCCAACCAAGCTATAAGATTGTAATTTGTAAACATAAGTGGAAGCACAATTACAAATCCTTTGATCATCTATTACCATCCATTGACCAAATATGAGCATGCATTTGCAAATATAAAATTAAACGTATAATTTGCTCAAAATATGTTTAATTTTATATTTGCAAATACATGCTCATATTTAGCCAATGGATGGCAATAGATGATCAAAGGATTTGCAATTATGCTTTCGCTTATGTTTACAAATTACAATATTAATAAGTAACTTATCTTACTTCCACTAAACTTATAATTTGCACAAAATATGTTTATCTTATTCAATCTATTCAACAACTTTGAATTTATCCCATTGAATAAAGATTATTATCCAATCATTCATGTTGGATCATTTAGTATACTTATCTTACATGAGTGATGCATTAATATACATCTTACTAGTAGTTCATATTTAATGGATTCATCTTATGAATTATGCATCCTTATACATCCATTAAATCAATCTTTGTGCATAGATTTTATCTATTGGATTTCATAATTTCATGACCTTTAATCTTTAAAATGTCATTAGCTCCCAATATTTCTATCATATATAGAAATCTTGCCCAGAAAACTTATTTATTTTCCTTTGGTGCATTATATCCATAACTTTTATGTATACTTATATATTATAAGTTCTTATCATTGGTTATAGAATGAAATTCTCTCAAAAGTTAGTTCATGTGATTAACAGGGTTTAGAATGCTTTTTGATTCATCTCTTGTGAATTCAATATGATAACTAATTGTTATTTAGTTCTAAACAATCTTAATTTAGATTTTTTATCTCAATAAGAATGCTCCTTAACTTAATGTGTTCATAATCATATTATGAATTCATTGAGTTAGAACTCAATTTTATCTAAGTCATTTCATTAATTTCCTTTTTAATCATAATAAAAGAAAAAAATGATCTTACGATGATCCCATGACTTAGTATTGATTATCATGTATGCAAGGCTATACTTAAGGATATATAATTTAAAACAATTATAAAAGAAAGTGAGATGTAATGTAAATATAAATATATAAGCTAAGCATCTCATGCTAGCAAACTATCAATGTTACCCAAACATAAAATAAAATATTCTACCATAGGCTCAAAACCAAAACATCTAATCTTGGCAATCATGCCATGTAAACATTCAATGTTCTAAAATTATTTATTGTTCCACAATCTAATCTAGACTGACAAGTTTGATGACCATCAACTAAGGTTGTCGCTATTGGGATAAGCCCTACAGCTAATTAGGATTGGTTAAGGCTTAATTCTAATCATGCAATAGTATCATTTAAGTTGTATGATTAGAGGTTTTCCTTCATCAATAAGACATCAATTATAATGAGTTAT